CTTCTTCTTCTTCTTCTTCTTCTTCTTCTTCTTTTTCTTCCTTTGAAATACCCGTTTCACAGTTGTCTGTAGGTTTCTGCAAATGTTTCTACTTGTGTCTAAATCTATTTGACATGTCTCACTAAGTCTGTGTGTAACTGTTAGTAAAACTCACCTTTTAAAAAAGAAATACATTCTTCCATTTATCTGACTTGTTTTAGCTATACAACAGTATACTTAAACTGACTGAAAATTATCATTTTCAATAATTAGTTAACATCTACTTCAAAGATAATGGCCAAGTGTTGGAGCTGTTGAAATTGAGATTTGGGAAGAATGTGGCTTGGCTTTTTGAAACATAGATTATGAACATTTTCAAATAGTTCTTCACATAAAAGTAGAGCTGCTTTTAAGACAACGTGCTTTTGAAATCCAGGACTTGCCTTCAAAGAGAAGGTGATCTCTCCAGGTGGCTGAGATTTCTTTTACATCCTTGCACAATTATTAAGCATCAGCTGCATGATAGTGTGAGGTATGTGAGGGTATATGTGAATGAAATGATTAGCAGCCTCTGTCTTTACAGCCTATGGAGAAGGTGTGTACACTAGGTTATATACAGATGCTCCTTTCATGTATATGTGAATAAATGGCAGGATATCACTGTGTATCCCAATCTGGTCTTAGACTTACCATCTTCCCTACCTCAGATTCTCAGAATACCTGTGTGTGTGTTTCATAAGTATAAAAATTCTCTGAATTCAACTTCAGAGAGGGTATTCTTAGATGAGGTGAGGGTCTTCCCGTTGTGAAGATGCTGGGTTGAAAGATGACTGACTTTTCTTCAGCAGGGAAAGCTAGTTCAAGGAGAAGGGTCTAAGAGGGTTTGGGTGGAGTCTAAAGAATCTGTTCTTAGGATATAGGGTAAAAAACCTTGAAATAAAAAACGAAGACCAGTAACAAAATCATTTTTTTTCTTTCTGTAGTTTTATATTGGCAATGTCTTGCTGTGTAGTTGTAACTGACTTGGAACTAGCTTGCTCCGTGGACCAGCCTAGCCTTGAACTCAATGACCCACCTCTCCCAGCCTTCCCAGCCCTGGAATTAAAGGGGTGTGCCACCACTCTTGGCATAAGAGTGTTGTTAATGTCAGACAGATGACTAGGTTACCTGGTTGTGTGGGGGCCACAGGTGATTTTTGAGTTTGAGAAACAATTTTAAATTCTTGTTTAGAAACAGTGATCTAGTAGCATTGTATAGTATGAATTGAGGTAGGAAGAGCCTGGAGACTCATAATCCTCAAGATTTCCATCACCATAGGTAGCAAGGGTCTGAACAAGTGGAAAGGACAAGGAACATAGGATAGAATTTGGTGAACAGGCAAATGAATGTTAAAATAATTGGCAGGGTGACTTAATGGGTAAAGGCGCTTGCTGCCAAGCCTGGACTAAGTTGGATCATAGAATCCATTTGGTAGAAAGGTAGTCTACTCCCAAAAGTTGTCCTTTGACCCTGTACCACAACCACATCCTCTTCCTTCTCCAAATTATCATTATTATTTTTAAGACAAGGTTTTACCATGTATCCCTGGCTGCCATGGAACACACTTTGAATGTCAAGCTTGCCCAGCCCCGCAGAGATCCACCTGTTTGTGCCCAGTGCTAGGATTAAAGGCATGTGCCACTGTGCCCAGCTGAAATAATTTTTTTCTTTAGAAAGTTAAAATAGTGATTCTGATCTGTCCATAGGGAAACTAGTGGTAGCATAGAAGTGTTATCCTTAGCATACCTGTATGATGTTCATAGTCTTTTGGGGATTTCTAATCCTTGTTGAAACTAAAGAAATCTGTTGGCCATGTGCACCCATGTTTTGTGGATGTGAATTTAGGGGAGTCCATGAATTACCTGAAGCTCTAGCATGAAACCCATGTTTGTTGTGCTGTGGGCAGTTTTCAGAATTACTGGAAAGTTAATAAGCTTGATTAAAGAAGTATATTGGTTAAGCTCCTAGAGGCTGAGTAAGGTGCTGTATTGTGGGTCATATGCCATAAAGAATTTTATTCTATCTATTATATCATCTTTTTTTTGTTGTTATATTATGGGACAAACTTGACTAAGAGTTTAGCTATCTGTCACAAGTCTAGTTGCAAGTGGTAAAATAGGATCTGGCGTTTGTTGACAGGAGTGGTTTTCCTTTCTGTATAAAGAGAAGAACACGGCAGGTTTACGGTTGATTGGGCATATCTTTTAAGTGGCCGTGTAAACTAAGAATTAAGTGATTCCAGGAGATTCCTTCCAGTTACGGTTTTGTGATTGTTGGCTGTTAGGTTTTCATTGGAACATCTGTACTCATCTTTCCCTCTGTATATTTGAGAACTGGTGAGACTGTGGGGTGATATAGGTAGGTAGAGAACAGATAGCAATATCAGCTCAGACATTTTAATTATTACTGTCTGTTTGGCTCTCAACGGGGTATCAAGGAAGAAATGGTGGAGGCACTCACTCCCTGTGGAAGACTAAACATGAGGAGTATCTCTTCTATCCCTATTTACTTTAGAAACATGACTGTTCTTCATTCAGGAGGTGGGGCATGGCACAAGGAGTGAAATAGACATTTATTTTCAGTGAATTTTCTAAGAAGGATTAAGTAGTTAATTCTCACTAAGGTAGTTAAGGCATAGTTTGATTAGTCAAGGGTTGAATTCTCTGCACCCATATAAGATTGTTTCTCTGGCAGGTTTCTCTGGCAGATTGTTTCCCTGTTACTAGTTGGTTTCTTTTCTAATTATAGAAAATTTGACTTAATAGTTTTTACAAACACTGGAATCATTTTACCTTTTGTGAGACAGGGTCTCACTAAGAATTCCTGGCTGCCCTAGAACTCCCTGTGTGGACCTTGAACTCCCAGAGATCTGCCTCTGCCTCTCAGGTGGTAGGACCGTGTCAGCACACCCGGCAGCATTGTTTTACTTTTCGCATGAGGATATGATGTGACTATAATGACCATTGAACCCAGTCAATCGCTCATTATAAGTGATATCCAAGGAGCTAGTCACTAATCAAAGGGAGGAATGCCGGACAGAGACACACATGGATTCGCTGGCTGAGGATATCTGGTGGCATCACCATGGGGTTTTTCATTCTTTTTCTGATAGCTCTTCCACTCTGTCATATGGTTGCTGTGACATTTGAGAATTAGGTGGGTAGAGAGGAAACCATCATGTTCTAATTTAGTGGTTCACTGATGCTTTAAAGGTAAAGTGTCCCGTATGACTAGTTAGCAACCCAAATTAGAATTAGAACTAAAACCTATATTTTTGTTCTTAATTTATGATTTTTTTTTCTACCAAATTTCTGATTGTTTGCCTACAGTGGAATTTTGAAGTTGTAGGGTGTCTGAGGATTACCTGTTAATCCTTAATACCTGTTAAGTATTTTGTCTGTTGCCTTCTTGGTGTTGACATGGTGACCTCATTTGATGTGGAGATTTATAAATATTTTATCACCAAATAGTTAACCTCTAGTTAAGGATAAAGTAAATGGGTATCCTCTCTGGAAGAAACATTGGCAAAATGTTGACATCAATTTGCTTTGGAAACTTTGTTGACTTTTATTTCTGTTTTTGAAGAAGAAGTTTGATTATCTTATATAAAAGCATAATCTTGGAAAAGTTTTGTTTTTTGTTGTGTGTGTGGAGGACACATAAGTCACTTATTCCAAAGTGATATCTTGATATTTTATGATTTTTAACATTGTATACCAAACTATACATATTACCCC